GTGTAGTGTTAGGTACTTAACAGCTTCATACTCATTTTTAAGTATTAGACGAGTCCATTTAGCCACAATGCAGAGCAGTATTTTCCTATCAATAAAATAGTGGTTAATGTGCTTCCTTATGCAATTAATGTGAATGTGAGGGAGACTTGTTGATGACAATGCTGGCATCCGAAACTGTACTGATAGAAATGGTTTCGAGGGAAATATAAATTGATAGATCATTCCTTTGATTATGTTCAGTGCAAGTGCCTGTTTTATTCACTTCAGCAGCAGCAGCAGTAACTCACCCTGAGAGCGGGAATAAAATCAGCCAGTGAAATGCTGTGAGTCTATGTAATCAACTAAAGTAGATGCTAGTACACCACATTAGCACGCAGATTTGTTCATAAACAGAATTTTAAAAGATAGCAATTTTGAAACAGTGTATGTTTAGACTAATTATGCAATGCTAGTCCAGAGTGTAAAATTTTATTAAAAAATATATTTTTTTATTGAAACACAGGTAAAATTACATTGCATATGTAATTCCAAAGAGGCATTATGTTTACTATAACTACTCCTTTGTCCAACCAGCATTTTTATAATAGAACTTTTATTAGTCCACATACATTAAATTTTACCAAGTGAATATTCCTGTATGAATGCAGTTTTGGTTCCTGTCAAGCACTAGTCACTCTGGGACTATCTTGTTCCTGTGGTATTTTCATTAGAGACACATAGAGAATGGGGTGGAGAGATGAGATAACAGAAATATGAACTACTATACTTACATTTTTATCCTTTGACCCTTCCTCTCTAGCTAATGTTGCTGCTCCACTTCTTCACCACCAAACTTTTTTTTATTAAAAAAAAATACATATTTTTTATTGTGCTTTAGATGAAGGTTTACAGAGCAAATTAGTTTCTCATTAAACAACTAACACACATATTATTTTGTGACATTGGTTGCCAGCCCCTCAATGTGTCAACACCCTCCCCTTTCTCAACCTTGGGTTCCCCATTAACCACCAAACTTCTTGAAAGTGTTTTTTGCTTATCATCTCTATTTCTCCCATCACCCCCTCTTTAGGACACTCCTGTCTGACTTCCACCTTACACATACCAACGAAACTCTTGCTTTGATAATCAGTAACCTTCATGTGGAGAAATCCAGTGACTAACTCTCATATTGTCCATGTTGTCTCATACCTTTCTTGTTTTCCTACCTTTTAGTTCAAGGGCCACTTCTTCAAGGAAGGCTTTTTCATATGCTCCTCCAGCTGTATTTCTGCTCTTTGGAGCAAGAATCTCATTTTGTAATTACATGTTCATGGACAACTTG